CTGTTCTAAGTTCCTTCAGCTGCTAAGATGGCTTCTTTTTCTACAGTCTTCATTGGATTTATGGACTTGTTTTCCCCACGTTTAACTGGGATGTCTGTCACTATAAATCGTACTTTAAGGCAGCAGCAGGACAGACATTTAAGTTATGTTTAACTGGTATTTCTGAGTAAAAAAAAAAGGTTAGAAGTGATACTTTCTAACATTTGATTACTGTAAATGGAAGTTTTCAGTAACACTGCTTTCAAGGTTTCATAGTTTTCAAAGAGGGTTAGTATTGTGTGGGGCAGGACATGAAGCTAGAGGAAGAGGATTCTATGAGATGACACCTACAAGACAGTATATTTTAAAGGACAAGAGATTAGAAGAAATGGGGAAAGGACAGGAAAGGCAAGTCAGGTTAAAGGTTGAAACATGAAAATATTCTCGACTGTATTTTTTGCTTTTGTTAAGTTCTTTGGCTCAAGCATCTGCTGGGAAAGACAAAACGTGACTTGACTCATAATAAAGCAAAAACTATATACTCAAAAAAATTATACTTATTTTCACATGACTTAGATCTTTAAACTCTGTGGTCTGGGACGATGCTAAGCGATGGTCTCTTTTCTAAAAGTAGGAGTGAGGTGGATGCAATTTAGCGGTAACGCTGAGGCTCAGAAAAATCAGAGAATTCCCAGCAACATGCCTTGCCATGTGCTCCAGCCAGCATCTCATTTGAGGGCGGAAAAGTGCTCCCTCTTGTCTAAAAACTAGTGTTTAGGAACTGAGCCAGCAGCTCCCCAAAAAGGCTCTGATGTTGTTCTCACCCAGTTTTTGCCAAACTGCAAGGAGAAGAAAAGCAACTTGTCCTTTGGACAAAGAAGAGCGTTTACTTGGAGGAGCCGGCCTGCAATTGCAGCGTTCCTGGTGCAGCCCACGGTAGCCAGAGAGACCCAGGGTGCAGTGCTCCAGGCAGGGCGGGGCCCTGTGTTAATGCCCACAGATGGTGGCCAAGTGGCCCAGGTGGTGCTACCAACTTGCCCCAGGTCACCTCACAAACTGGGATTTGAAGCCAAGCCCTCTTGCCTCCAAGACCCACATTGCATCAAGATTAGGAGTGGCTCTGGAATTAAAGGCTAACATGAACATTCACAGCTTAGATAAGTATACGTGTGCACTTCTTTGAGATCCTGCCCTAACGTGCAGAGGCTCCTGTACTTGCAATAGCATGTTCATCATGCTGTCTCCTCCTTCCCGTTTGAATGTCTCATTTCCTACTTAGCAATCCTCCCGCCTCAGCCTCCCAGAGTGCTAGGATTACAGGTGTGAGCCACCTTGCCCGGCCAAGATTTCTAAGTACATAGTAGTATATGCATGAGTGCAGTGGGGTTTCTGAGGCTTTTTTTTTTTTCATTGTTGCTATTAGGAAACTGTTCAAATGAGGTCTTAATCTGAAGTGTAAATACATGAAGCAGAAAAAGGGCAGAGTTGTGATTGAGGACCTGAGCCCTGTCTCCTTGTCAGCCTCTGGGGGGATTCTCAGAACTGAATCTGCCATGCTCAGCTTCATGTCTATTACCTAAGGCGCAGCCAGACTAATGAATCTTTCCTGAAGGCTGTGCAAGCTTTGCAGTCAGGCTCTGGGTGGAGATTTGTCAGCATGGCCTTCCCCGTGGATCTCATTTTGGCATCAAACAACATTGCACAAAAACACCAGCAATCCAATGCAATAATTTTGAGAACAGCCACCAAATTCTTAACTTTTGCATCTCAAGTCAATGTTCAGATTTTTTTAAACTATTTTTAAGGTATCGACTTTGCCACTCGTAAGATAGCCAAGATGCTGAAGCCACAGAAAGTAATCGAGCAGAATGGCGATTCTTTTACCATCCACACGTGTAGCAGCCTAAGGAACTACCTTGTTAAATTTAAAGTTGGAGAAGAATTTGATGAAGATAACAAAGGCCTGGATAACAGGAAATGTAAGGTAAAAATTAAAGTAATAACAGAGGCTCTACATTGGGCAAGGCTAACTTGGCGTTTGCCTTAGTCGCACTTGAGGACCCAGCCAGAGCAAAGGAACATTTCCTCCTCTCCCTCCCGCAGAGCTTGGTCGTCTGGGATAATGACAGACTCACCTGTGTCCAGAAGGGGGAGAAGCAGAGACAGAGGCTGGACCCACTGGATCGAAGGGGACAAGCTCCACCTGGTATATGCCAAATTTTTTCTTTTTTTTAATGGTGACACAATATACGTTTTTTCTTTTGAGTCAGAGTCTCACTCTGTTGCCCGGCCTAGAGTGCCGTGGCATCAACCTAACTCACAGCAACCTCAGATTCCTGGGCTCAAAAGATCCTCCTGCTTCAGCCTCCGAGTAGCTGGGACTACAGCATGCGCCACCATGCCGGCTAATTTTTTTCTATTAATTTTAGTTGGCCATTAATTTATTTCTATTTCTTTTTTTTTTTTTTTTGAGACAGAGTCTCGCTTTGTTGCCTAGGCTAGAATGAGTGCCGTGGCATCAGCCTAGCTCACAGCAACCTCAATCTCCTGGGCTCAAGCAATCCTTCTGCCTCAGCCTCCCAAGTGGCTGGGGACTACAGGCATGCGCCACATGCTCCGGCCTAATTTTTTCTATATATATTAGTTGGCCAATTAATTTCTTTCTATTTATAGTAGAGACGGGTCTCGCTCTGTCGAGGCTGGTTTCGGAACTCCTGACCTCGAGCAATCCGCCCGCCTCGGCCTCCCAGAGAGCTAGGATTACAGGCGTGAGCCACCGCGCCCGGCCTGTTTCTTTCTATTAATATCTTTCTAGTAGAGGCGAGGTCTCGCTCTTGCTCAGGCTGATTTAGAACTCCTGACCTTGAGCATTTCACCGGCCTCGGCCTCCCAGAATGCTAGGATTACAGGGGTGAGCCACCGCACCTGGCCTGATGATATAATATTAAAGGAAATGTCAAACAAGAGGCTATGATCATTAATCAACTCAACTGTTTTTAGTTTTGCATGTTACTTTCCTATATTTGCCAGAATATTCTGCCTTTTCATTTAATCTAAAAGCATTTTCCAGATTCCTAAATAATTTTTCTGTTGAATTCACCACGTATTTATTGGATGTATATAATAGGATAGCAAACTGGCTGCATAAAATTCCAGCATGCTGATGAACTGTCATTTTCATCATATGTTTCCTTAATGTAAGTATCCAAGTGTCCAGAAACATTGTTTCAGGGTGTTTTCTGCTAGTTCTTAAACTCACATATATAGAGCTTTTTGCATCTGTAGATTTCTTCCTTTATGATGAATTCACAGATGGGATCGCTGTTGTCAAAGGCACATGTATTGTTGCCTCTTGCTACTTGGATGCCTTACTCACATCCAAAAGGGTGTATCAATTAGTAAATCTAAATAATCAGTAAATCTAACCACTAAATCTAAAATATAGTTTAGAAGGTATAAATCTGTACCTTAAGATTTAATCATGGTTTTAAAAATAAAAATTCCTTCCTGCCATATATATTACAATAGTTTACATATTTTAAGAGATGACTTTGTGCCCAATTACTGTGCTAAATCCTTTGAGTGCATTATCTCATTGAGTTTTCATCGCAATCCTGTGAAAGGGACACTATTGCTCCCATTTTCAAATGAAGAAATTGAGATTTTGAAATTCCGCAAAGCTGCAGAGTGGAAATTAAAATCCAGGTCTGAAAAGAACGTGGGCTCACAACTCTGCACCTTTATTGGTTCAGTGATTGTGTGTGTTTAAATTAGGTGATACCCCAAGGAATGAAATTGTAGACGCATTAGCTTAAAGTTGGGTCAGGGTAGCCTTGAGTTACAAAGGCATTGACAATAGTTTGATTCTAGATTGACAAATCTCACACTCTTCTGACACAAACGAAACAAGAAACTTGCCTTTACAAAAGTGTAATATGGAATTGCAAAGAAAATACAAATATGTTTGAGGATTTAGATTAGTTGGCTGTTAAGAGGTAATGGTCAGGCTGGGCGAGGTGGCTCACGCCTATAATCCTAGCACTCTGGGAGGCTGAGGCGGACGATCACTCGAGTCGGAGTTCAAAACCACCTGAACAAGACCCATCTCTACTAAAAATAGAAAGAAATTAATTGACCAACTAAAATATATATTAACAAAAAATTTCTGGGCATGGTGGCGCATGCCTGTATCCCAGCTACTTGGGAGGCTGAGGCAGGAGATTGCTTGAGCCCAGGAGATTGAGGTTGCTGTGAGCTAGCTGATGCCAGGGCACTCTAGCCTGGCAACAAGTGAGATTCTGTCTCAAAAATAAAAAAAAAAAAAGAGGTAATGCCTGGTGCTCGGCGGCGGCCTGTGCAGTCCCTAGCACGCTGGGAGGCTGAGGCAGGCAGATTGCTTGAGGTCAGGAGTTCGAAACAGCCTGAGCAAGAGTGAGACCCGTCTCTACTATAATAGAAAGAAATTATTTGGCCAATTGATTATATTGGAAAAAATTATCTGGCATGGTGGTGCATGCCTGTAGTCCCAGCTTACTCGGAGGCTGAGGCAGAAGGATCGACTCGAGCCCAGGAGTTTGAGGTTGCTGTGAGCTAGGCTGACGCCATGGCACTCACCGTAGCCTGGGCAACAAAGTGAGACTTTGTCTCAAGAAAAAAAAAAAAAAAAAGAGGTAATGTTCAAAATATGAGGCCAGACGTGGTGGCTCACGCCTATAATCCTAGCACTCTAGGAGGCTGAGGTGAGAGGATCGCTTGTGGCCAGGAATTTGAGACCAGCCTGAGCAAGAGCAAGACCCTGTCTCTACAAAAAATAGAAAAATTAGCCTGGCATAGTGGTACACACCTATAGTTCCAACTACTCAGGACGCTGAGAGAGGAGGAGTTTGAGGTTGCTGTGAGCTACAGTGATACCACTGCACTCTAGCCTGGGCACCACAGCAAGATCTCATCTCAATCAATATACATATACATTTGGTCTTTGTCCTGGGCTCTTGGCACATAGCTCCAGAGTAGTAACAGTGTCTTCTGTATGCAAAAGAGATGACTGACGGCTGGTCCGAAGGTAGTGAGTTATCTCACGTGATTGTTCACAGTCAGTTACAGATTGAACTCCTTGTTCTACTACTTTCCCCCCTCCTCACTACTGCACTTGACTAGTCTTAAAAAAAAAAAAAGAGATGACTGACAGCTGAGGGCCTCTAGGTAGCTTCATGATGGGGGCTGGACACGAGAGAAAGGGAAGCAGGATTAGAGGTTGGGACTTTCAGTCCACCTCTGGCTCTGGGGAGGGAAGAGAGGCTGGAGATTGAGCTGATCACGAATGGTCAATGATTTGATCAATCATGCCTATGGGATGACCCCTCCATAAAAGCCCCTAAACAAGAGGGTTTGGAGAGTTGCCACACTGGTGAGGACGTTGAGGTGCTGGGACCTGCCCACCCCCCATAGTTTGCCCTGTGCATTCCTTCCATCCTGCTGTTGCTGAATTACACACTTTATAATAAACTGGTAATGGCAAGTAAAGGGCTTTTCTGAGTTCTGTGAGCCATTCTACCAAATTTTAATTTTTTTTTTTTTTTTTTT